ACAACCACTTATAAATTTAGCTCCAAAAAAAAATCAAAGGCCCCTGGCCTCCATGTATTTCACGCATAGGTGGTATACATAGTCACAGACACACATGTATATATAATTAAAAATAATTTTTAAAAACTTTTAAATAAACAAAAAAACCAACATTCTTTTTGAAAGTTCTTAGGTATAGTAGTTTGGGGTGTTTTTGTTGTTGTTGCTTTGTTTGTTTGTTTTTCTCTTTGGGGCCTACCGCCCATCTCACAAATAAATGCTTAGTGATTTATTATTACTTATGAATGCCCAGCTTTAGCTTGACTTGTTTTTAGTCAGCTTTTCTAACTTAAATTATCCCATTTCTCTCTAACTACATTTTGCCTCTGGGCTTTTTACCTTTCTTTATTCTGTATGTCTTTGTCTTTTTTTCCTTCTTATTCCACAGCTGGCTGGGTGGCTGGGTGGTTGGGTGGCTGGATGGCTGGGTGGCTGGGTGTTTGGGTGGCTGGCCTCTGGCACCTTCCTCTCCTCCTTTTCTCATTCCTTCCTCTGTTCCCTAAATTTCTCCTCCTATTTATTCTCTCTGCCCACCAGCTCTACCTATGTCTCTTTCCTGCCTATCTATTGGGCATTCAGCTCTTTATTAGACCAATCAGGCGCAAAGTAACACAGCTTTACAGAGTTAAACAATGCAACATAAAAGAATACAACACATCTTTGCATCATTAAACAAATATTCCACAGCATAAACGAATGCAACACATCTTAAACTAATATTTTACAACAAGGTATTTTTGTCCCAGCAGTGAGAAAAGTAACTAATATGGATCCACAACACAGTGTAGATGGTGCCTGAGTAGCTGTATTGTACTATGTAGGGAAAGAAGGCAAGACAAAGTCTGCATTGCACTCATTACAGCTGCAATTCTTTTCAATCTTGGGATGGTTGGATCTCCGTAGAACACAGTTACAGAAATTTGGGGCTCAAGTACATAGACCGTGGAGTTTTGCTGATTCAAGTTCAAAGTCCAGAGCCATCAACCAGCCACATCACCTTAAGCACATACTTGACTGTACTTACTAACAGCCCTACTTCGTTAAGTGCCCGTGAGAATTATGTTGAAATTGAAATGTCTGCAGAGTATTTGCTGCTGACATGTAAGAGGCACTCCATAAACAATCATTCTGGAAATCATCTTCCTTTTTCAAAAATGGTTTACTCAGCTTTGCTTCTGAAAAGATTTGTTGGGATCTACAACACAGACCCCATATGCCATTCCCGATAATTGGCCCTCAGACTCGAACCCCAGCTAGACTGATGATATCTGAAAGTGCTCTAGCCAGCCGCCCAGATGAGTATCTAACATCTGTGCTCAGGGCTCATGGCTAAAGGGGGGGGGGTGTGGCACCAGATACCTACCCTGTCACTGACTGTCATGCTGAGTGACAGAGCATAGAATGTACTCAAGAAAGACATACTGAATGGATTCGTGGAAGAAAATTCTTGAATTTCAGGAATGAAATAATATGGTATACCAGCTGGAATTTCAACAGTGGCATTTTGGCACACAAGGGAAGCTGTGTCCGCAGGTGGCTCCATTGGTGTTTTCTTGTCATCTCTCCATGACCAAGACTGTAATATTTAACATAGAGTAGGAGTCAGTTTTGTCAATGCAAAGCCTAGGCAAAATTGTGTCTTCATTGAAGTTTTTCAGTAACTATTAAGCACACAAACCCTGCTATCACACCACTTACTCTGCTATGAGCAGAAGAGGTTGGCAGCACAAGTCCCATTGCCTCTACTCACTGGCCTTGTCTTTACATGATGCTATCTGGAGCTAGAGACTCTTGACACTGAGTTATCAGCTACTGGATGGTTTGTAAAAATCTATTTTATAGAAAAACCCAAGACCTCACAAGCCTTTTCGTGACTGTCATCCTTATAAGGAAGGATCACAAAGATAAGATCTTCTGAGGTGTCCCAGCATGGCATGGTATTAAGATAATGGACTGTGAGTTTGGGAAGAGGGTTGAGAAGGGAAGGATGGAGATGTTGACTAAGAACTAGATGTGGTTGGGTAGGAAAACAAACCTAATGCTCTACAGCATGACAGTTAATTGACTATCCCAAAATAGTGGATATAGAGGATTTTGAATGATTTATTTTGGAAGTATCAAATACTATATACATATAATGAGACAGTATATACATATTTATGTATACATATTATGTATACTTATAATGGATACATACATATAATTATTCTATACTCCACAAATATGGACAATCACCATGCATCAATCTAAAGAAAAATGTACAAATAAAACAAACTGGGATAGTAAGGGAGCTGTTGTCAACTTCTAAGGAGGCTCCTGTCTACATGTGAGGAGCCCCCTGTGAACCAGGAACCAAATGCCTAAGACATTCATCTTATGAGCACCTTGGATTCGAACTTTGGGTGTCCAGGAATCTGAGAAATAAATGTCCGAGGTTTACAAGCTAAAGGAAAGCTGAGGGTATGAAACATAGCTCTAGTTTTCATTCCCTGTGTGAACAGGGTCACAATGCTCAATTTATCAACACCTTGGGGTCTTCATCTGTCAAATTTGATAAATGAACCTAACGTGCTTCCATGCTGATCAAGCCCATTGGCATCGTCGCCTGGAGGCTGAGGCTTGTGGGAGAGTCATGGTCCAGTTTCTGGACTAGTTTTGGAGAGAAATGCTACTGCCACTTTTAAGGAAAATTAGTGTGAGACAGCTGTCCCTCAAGGTCCATGGGGGAACCTGTGAGCATCAAAACCCATAGTGCTCTAATGTAGTATTTACATATGACCTAATATATTCTGCTATAGGGAAAGAATGTCTATTTCCTTGTGATGTTGAACACGGTGTAAATAAAATACTACATTAATGGTTGATACATTGTTTACATGATAATGGCAAGGGAAGTCCAGGCATGTTCCACTCATATGCAAGTTTTCAAACTAATTTAGATCTGTAGTTTCACAGACACACACTCAAGAGCCCCTTGCAGAAGATCCACTAGTTTCTACCTTAGTTGGGTATTTCCTTCTCTCATTTTTGGGAAAAGCAGTTGTCTCATCTTGAGGACATTCTAGTGACCCTGCAATGAAGCCCACACAGTGAGAAGCAGAGTCTCCTACCACCAACCATATAAGTGAACATCAAAGCAGGCTCTGTAGCTGAGGGCTGACCCAGCCTCCAGAGAGAGCACTCAGCTATGGAAGATCTTCAGAACAGAGAGAACCCATGTTTGCTGCTGCAGGAAGCTGCTGGGATGTGAAGGTCATTATTTCTCAGCAGTAGGTGAGAGCTGCAGCCTCTGACTCCAGTGGGGTGGGTGTGGTGTAGTGCTTAGCTTTCCAGTTCCAGGGTGTAGAGAAGCATTTGAGGAAGCTGGTCATGTTGAAAGGTCCCATCCACAGAATACACCACTGTGTATATGTAGGAGACCTGCAGGGCTGTTTTCCAGGAGCAAGGAGTGTGACCATCATGTTCAAGGAATCCTTCTCATGCAGGCCTCGCCCATCTTCACTCACCTCCACCATCAAACCCTTCTTCTTGTATCTGCTGTCACCTGCCACCCATAACCATTTTTCCTTATACAGACAAGATGGAATTCTTCCTGCATCCCATGCAGAATGTCCCAGGGTTCCTCACATTTCTCTGGGGGCTTAGAAAGAAGCATAGACACTAGGCAACACAAGCAAACCTGTGCACGACCACAGGTTGAGAAGGTCTGTGTGGAGACCAGTAGCAGATGCTGGAGTACATCTACCCTGGTGAATGTTGGCAGTCTGAACTACCCTCTGCCATGGCAGAGCTTCCGTGTGGGAGGCTGAGGGGAGGCTGTTTTGGGGGAAAGGCCATTAATTCTTAGCAGATAACAGGGGAATATGCAGACAATGGTGACATACCTCAGTGTCCAGAGGAGCACTGGCTCCAGGAAATGCATGGAAAGGAAAGCTGCAGAGGCTCAAGTCGTTGAGTCTGTCAGGTAACATAGTGTTTACAGAGTCTACACACACATGACTTGCACTTTAAATCACCCCTAGATGACAGAATACCTAACACAGTTATATGCTGTATAAATAATTGTTGTACTGTATTATTTGGGGAATAAAGACAAGGAAAAAGTCTGTAGTGTGTATGTTCAGTGCAGATTCAATTCTGCCTGCCACCACCAGTACTTTCCATTCATGGTAGGATCTACAGTTGTGAGCCCTGCAGACAAATGGGGTTGACTGAAATACATTTACCTGCTCTATGTTTTTTAAGGTCTACTTATTTCTATTTTATGTGTATGGGGGTTTTGTCTGCACATATGTCTTGCACCATCTGTGTGCCTGGTGTCTTCAGAGGGCAACAGGTCTCTTGGAACTGGAGTTACAGACAGTTGTTAGCAGCCATACGGGTGCTGGGATCAAACCTGGGTCCTCCAGAAGAGCAGTGTTCCTGGCCCCTGAGCATCTCTTCAGCCACCTACCTGAGATATTTTTGAAGGTCTAAACAGAGTGGACAGGAGACTATGATAAGACCCCAGGGGTAGCTGCTGTTCATAAATAAGTGTCTTGGTCAACAAGTTATTGATGACTTTTGGTTTTGATTTTTGAGATTAAATCTTGGTATGTAGCCTAGGCTGGCCTTGAATTTACAGTGATCCTCCTGCCTCAGCCTTTTAAGTGCTGAGATTACAGGCATATGTCACTATACCTGGTTTCATTGCAGTTTTTGAAAGTGAAACAGGAAATAAGATTTGAGACAGGACCCTGTCTGACCATAGCCCTAACCCTGGTCATGGGTCCTGGAGAATTAATGCTGCCTGGCTTCCCTGCTGAGAACTAGCTATCAACAAAGGGCTTCTGGCTGCCACCAACTCCACAGGGGCTTCAGGAGATGGAGAGGATGGGAAGGGGGGAGCTGCCCCAATCGATAGACTGAGTGGTTCAATAACTCATTTTGCTGCTGATGCAGTGAAATAAATAAATAAATACCTGGTTGGAAGTTGAAACTGTCCCTGCTCAGGGCTTCTCAAAGGCTGACTTGATAGGCTTTAATAGCTTTGCTCGGCACAGAACATGGGCTGACTGTCCCAGCAGTGTGCCCTCTGTTTCCTAGGTAACCAAACTTGAAATCAGATGATGGCTGGAACTGAGGACCAAATCCATTTGTCGGAGGTACAGATGCGAGAGCGCAGATTTCACATAGCCTGAAGACGGTGGCCTCATTTAGTGTCCCTTCAGCTCCTGTGTGTCTGCTGGTCTGTTACTTCCCATCCAGCACTGCCAGCCCCTTCGTCTCGACCCCAGAGCCCAGAAGAAAATGCCGGAGTTCCAGTTGTGCTGACGGAATCAATACGAGTATGCTTCATCGCAGGCTACCCGTCAGGAGAGGATCTGATGAAAAGAGAGGAGATGCGCCTGAGCACAGCTCTTTTGTGTGAGCAGCGAGAGCTGCTGCCTGAAGCCCGGATCTTGGACCTGCTGTGCAAATCTGGTCCTTGAAATGATTGTTCCAGAACTTTCCCCGAGGGAGGAAGAGTACCAAGTACTGTAGTAGGTCAATCAGCAATTCTTCACCTGTGCCTGGCTTCAGTGGAGAGTTGCCTGGCTTCAGTGGAGAGTTACGGTACTTAGCACTCTGACACCAAACAGCTAAATTCAGAAGACAGGAGCCCCCTTCCCAGCACCTCGCATCACTTGGATCCTAGCAATGTTAGCTGAAACTGCCTAATCACACCCTGTGCTGGCTTTCCTATTATAGATGGCATAGACATGGATGAATGAATTTGAACATGGATGAGTTTCAATAGAACTAGTGGTGAAAAATATCTCTGCAGTGAAGAAGGCCTCTTTCCCACATTGAATCTCTACTTTCCAAAGTTATAAGAGAGAGAGGCATTTTCTCCAATCTTGGAACCCCTTGAACCCGGAAGGAAAAGTATCACCCCTAAAACTGACAGTAAATACTCTTCAGATGAGCAGTGACATTATCACACAACCTATTTTGGTATTATTATAGAAACAGCTTTGAATTTCTACCTTTTCTATTGTCCATGTGGTAGTTCAAAAAGCTTTCTTTAATTTTATCATTCAGGAGAGGCAAGTATGCAACCCTTTTCTCTACAGAACCAAACGGTATAAAATGTTGTGTTTTCCAGTCCACATGTTGCCTATTAAAACTGTCCATTGCTGTCACTTCAGTGTGAAAACTGCTCTAGACGTCATTTTGAGCTGGCAAGGCTGTAGTGTGGATAAAACTTTATTTACAAAAACAGGTGGTGGGCCAGGGACTGATCCAGACTCCGTGAAAGTAGTGTCAGTGAGGAGGCCTCAGAAATCTCTGGGGCCTTGGGTAGTAGATCAGTGTTTACCATAGTTTATGAATGATCTTTGGGAGCCCATTCCAAATAGAGGGATGCTCTCCCAGCCTGGACACATGGGGAAGGGCCTAGGTCCTGCCTTGGATGAGGCCCTCCTTGGAGATCCCCCCCTGGGGAATTATGTGGGGATTGGGCTGGGGGGGGGGGCTGGTGGAGGGACAAGGAAGGAGGGGTGGGAGAAGGAGCTGGGGTTGACATGTGAAGCATTCATGTTTCTAATTTAAATAAAAACATATATTGAGAACAAAAAAAAAAAAAACAGGTGGTGGGCCAGATCTGGCACATGAACCATAGTTTTCCAGCTCATAATCTAGATGAGTCTATAGTATCAGACATAAGAAATATGGCAAACACACTGTAAAGTTATTTTTTTCTTTTTATAGATGGGGTCCTGTGTTATACAAAGTTTCTCTGCCACACTTAATGACAGCACCATTTCTATACGAGGCTCCAAGTGTTTCTGCAGGGGGAGAAGAGAGGACCAACAATTAAGCACTTGACCCAGACACATCACCTGATATGTCATGGTCCAGAGCTCATTACCCACCACCCACCTCTATATTCAAGACTGAGGCGAATTGTAATCTGCAGTCAGACAAGAAGTTAGGAAGAGTGAACCACAGTAATATCTTCCTCATGAAGCTTCAGTTAGGCCTGAGTCCTTTCCACAAGACAGCTATGAAAAGGGCCACTGCTCAATCCCATAGCTGAGACCTATGTCCTCTGCAGACACAACTGGCAAAAGGCCACCAATAAGACTGTCCTTGGCCCTGAACTCTGTTGTAAGTTTGAAGCATAGGTATGATGGGGGAAGTCCTGTACATTTGTTAATAAAGCACTGCTGGCCAATAGGAATCTAGATAGGTGGGACTAGGAGTCCAGGAGGATTCTGGGAAGGAGAAACACAAGAGAGTTGACATGTGACGCCATGGGGTAGGAAGCCCGGAACTATTCTCCAGTAAGAGAAATACTTAGATTAACAATTATGGGGTAATTACTTAAGTCAGAGCTAGCCAGTAAGAAACAAGCAAGGCCAACAGCTTCATAATTAATACAGCGTCTTGTGTGTTATTTGGGGACTACAACTCGGCAGAGCCCAGGTGACTGGCGGGTGATAAACCAAAGCGGCTAGCAAGGAAAGCTTCTTTTAACATAGGTATAAACATAAAACACAATGTACAACCAGGGAGATGGACAGGAGCCCCAACCCATCCCATATTTAATGGGCAATGGAAATTCAGATGGTTGTGGCATAGCCAACTATTCTCCAGGCCCAGATGGGCCTCCAGACAATTCTGTGGGCCTTTTGAGGATAGAGTACAAAGCAGCAAACACAGCCTCCCAGTGAGCAAAAGGACAGTGTACATTCGAAATGTAACCAATGACTTAGATGGTGGTAGACAGATGCCTAGGCATCAGGTCTGCCTTATTGCACGGTCCACCACATCAGCAACAGGCACCGACGGCCCTCAGTTGAACTTCCTGATAACTCTAGGAGGAAAGTTCATGTATTAACGAGGGGAAATTTGGAATCTGAAAAGCCAGGAGTAAAACTGGCAGCAGTTGGTAAGGGAAGAGGTGGGTTCACGTTACCAACTGTGCCCTATGCAATCCTGCCTCTACACCCTGGAGGGATGGAGGCCCAGACCAGCCTGGTGCAGACAGAAATCCTGGAGCCAGTGTTGCATGGGGCTTGGGGAATGGGGACCTACTTAATGAAACAATCCATTTTGTGAGTTCTTAGGAACACTTACCTTCTCCCCTGAGACTTCCAAGAATTAATTAATACTAGCTGCTTGTCAGGCCCTTTGCCAATGTAAAGGATTTGTTTAACCTGAAAGGCCAGAGTAAGCACAATAGAACTCTGGCTTTATTTTAAAAACACCCTGTGCAGTGGTACAGAATGGCCTTGGTACATGGTGTGAGAATGACCCTTTTCTGTAAAAGGAACAGCAAGACACACACTTGCCTACCCATGTCCAGATGCTTAACCACATGATGATGTGGGAAGGCTCAGCATCCAGCTAAAGGCAAGAGCTGTCTCCCTTAAGAATCACCCTCAGTATCTGCAGCAGACCTTATGATGTCAGGGAAACACCCCAAACCAAAAGACAGTTTAAGCTCATGTGTTGTCTGGGTGAGACAGACAACCAGAAGCAGAGCCCATCTGGAGTTTGTCAAATTATCATGCTTGAAGGACAGTGCCAAGGCTACCAGGGAACTCCAATTCCACCTCCTGTTCTGGCACTCCCTTGAACTCATTGAAAGTGGCTGCACTCACAGCTCCAGTTTGTTACAAGAAAAGTGCTGGGATGAGATAAAGTGTGTCTACACAGAAGGCAGCACAGAAGAAGGCTCCATGCACACACATGGCACAACTCTTGCTCTTGGGACATCCCACCATTCCAGCATTCACATGTGACAATGCATAGCAAAGCCGATGTTTAGAGTGTCACATGACCGCTTGGTTGACTGGCTGCCTAGATGACCCTCACCTCCAGTACCTGGAAATCCACCAAGGGCCATCCCATTAACATTAACTTTCAGGGATGGAGGAGGACAGACTTTCTTGTTACCTTCACCCAGGGAAGTCTAAAGGTTTAAAGATCAGATCACATCTGAGAGTGAGGGTCAAAAACCACATCTCTCTTTGAATAAAACCAAATTACTTATTATATGGACTCTGGAGGAGAAGAAATCCCGACTGGATTTCCCTGGAGAATTTACTGGGGGTGGGGGGATCTAAGCTGTGTTGGGCAGAGTGATTTGCTTATCCTCGGAGGATAAGGCAGTGGCCCTATCCTTTCAGGATTGTGTAGCCTCCCAGAACATGACTCCAGGCCTACACTCTCTTCTCTCTCTTTTCCATCTATAAATTTCACTCATCCATAGCCCAGGATCTCTTTTAAACTTCAAACACTTTGTAATGAGTGACAGACAGACAGACAGACAGACAGACAGACACACACACACACACACACACACACAAATGGCTGTAAGAGAAGTTGCTAGTGGGAAGCAAGCTGTCACTTTGGAAGACAATTTGCATGGTCTCTTTAAACTAAACATTCTATAAACATTCTATCAGCATGCAATTCAGCAATCAATACTGTCCAACAGTGATGAAACTTATACCACAGGAAAACCTACACACGGGTGCTCACAGCAGCTTTATTCACAGTAGCCAAAGCTCAGAAGTAGCTGAGATATCCTTCAACAGGTGTTATGACAGATAACCAACTACCATTCACGCCTTAAAAGATGAGAGCTTTTTAAGTCATGGAGGAAGCTCAAGTGTGTATTACTACATAAAAGAAACCAATAAAAGGTTTGCAGGCTGCCTGATCCAAACTATATGGCACTCTGGGACAGGAAACTGTGGTGACTGAATAGATTCTAGGGGGCTGGGGGAGGAAGGGCTGAACTAGTGGAATTCAAAGAATATGAAGACAGTGAAATGACTGCATGAGATAACGATAAGGACACAATTTGTATAAACTCACACAATGCACCATGCCAAGAGCAAGCCCCAGGCGGAAACTGCAGACTTGGAGATAAGGAGGAGGAGGCAATGAAGGCTTGTCATGGGGGGAACAAACGGGCCACTGAGGAGCAGGATATTGTTGATGGGGGGTGTACTCAGGTGTGAGGTAACGGGGACATATGTGGGAAATGTCTGTGACTTCTACTCCTTTTTGCTGAGAATCTGAAAATTATTTTTTTAATTTAAATTAGAAACAAGCTTGCTTCACATGTCAATCCCAGCTCCCTATCCCTCCCCTCCTCTCCCACTCCTCCAGACCCCCAGCCTCCCACCCAATCCCATTCCATTCCCCAGGAAGAGTGAGGCCCTCTATGAGGGATCTCCAGAGTTTGTAATTTCATCTAGGGCAGGGTCTAGAACCTCCCCCATATGTCCAGGCTAAGACATCATCCCTCAATGTAGGATGGGCACCCAAAGTTCATTCGTATGCCAGAGATGAATACTGATCTACTACCCAAGGCACCATAGAT